TTTGTTCATATTTTAATTCATTATATGTTGATTAAATGTGCATTCATTATTATTTATTTTGCATTACTTTATAAATATATTTATCTAATTTTTATCAATGGGTTTTTCATTATATAAAACAGAATATTATTCTTATCTGTAACACAAACAATTAATATTATCTCATATACTCTATCTAATTTGATCTTATTAACATTTACATTATTATGTTTATAAATATTCACACAAGATATAAATATATTTAACAATTTCAACAATATTCAACGAATAATATATTTAATTTATTGAGCTTTCTTAAATGAAGTTGTAATATTACTGTATATATAATATACTTAACAATATTATGATTTTTAAATCATACATATCACTAAATTTATTAGTAAAAGTTTTCAATTAAATATGGTTATCGTCTTTTGTATATTTTGAGCAATATCAAATTGAAAAATAAAAATAATTACTATTTGAACAAATATTATCAATAATATACAATGTATAAGTTATTCTATTGATATACTTAAAAACAATACATTAGTTAGACAAATGAAATTAATAAATAAATATATAATAAAAATGAATTTTCATTTTATTTTTTATTTTTAATTTATAATATTCATTATTCAATTTCACAATGATGATGAATGATATGGGATAAACAATCATTTTAAACTGGATGATTTTACATGTATATTCAAATAATAAACAAAAATAGTATATTATTACATTTAATACAGCTATGTAACAAGCACATTATTCTAATAATAAAATAAAATTTATTAATTAGTTTAATATATTCATAAAATATCATTAAACAGTCAATGAAAAAAATCTTGTTTAAAAACAAATAATAAAAAAGACAAGTAAAAAGAGTATTAAGTGAATAAGTAAATATAATGTATATACAAATACAATATATAATAATGGTTTATTTATTAATATATGCTAGTTTATAAATTAGACTTTATTACGTACAAAAAGATAAGAATTAAATGATGTAATAAATTGTGTTTTGTACAAGATGAATAAATTGAATTTAAAATGTAAATAAATACAAGCTGAACATCAACTATTATAAAACATAGAATTAATATCCTTAAAAAAAGTAATTATAATAACAATGTTATCAATAAATTATTAAAAAGTCAATATGAAGATTACTTCAATTAAAATATAATAATATTGCAATAAATTATTAAAACAGTTGGTATTAGTATAAAATATGAAATATTTTATATATTTAACTGTATTGTTATATTTTCATCATCACTCAAATAATTATATATTAAAATTCAATTATATAAATTGACTACAATATATTGAGAATATGTAATAACTACTTTTTAACATTTATAATACATAATTATTGATATTCCTAACAATTAGTTCTTTTTTTTTAATTCAATGAAGTAATATTTAAATTTTATTCAATACGAAATATTAAAAAGTTGTTTTATTGAGACAAAATTATTTATAATAATTTTGAGCTGATAATAAATAGTGTCAAAAATTGTTTTAAAAAAAACTTTTAATAACTACAAATTGACATATTAAACATCATAAAAACGAATGCCTTAATTTTTATTTAAACAAATGACAAAGTATTATTTCATTGAGTTAGTGTTAATTAGTGTATGAACAAGAAGTGAAAGGAATAAATATAAAATAATAAAGTGTCAATAAATAAAGAAAAAGAGAATATAATGGGATACAAAACAAAAAAGAATAATAAATAAAAATAAATGTTTTTTCTAAAAAAAGGGTAGAAAAGAACTATTTTAAGAATCATTGGTTAAAGGATAAAGATGCCAGAATGTGACACAAAAGGGCTTAGAGAGATTCAAGAAAAAGACTTTGAATTAGGCCAATGGTATACATCTTTTAGGGATGAAAATTATTGTGAAGGTCAGTTAAGTGATATTTTTGCGATAGCAACTAATAAATTAGTTAAAGATGTTTCTGAGAAATGTGGTTGTTTTGAATAATTAAATAAATTCAATTTGTATTAATATTAAAGAGTTTAAAAAAGAATAAAAAGAAAAATAACAATTTATTCAATATTATTTATCAATATGAATTTTTTGATATGTTGTTTTGATATAAAAGACAAGTTTTTCCTTTCATTAAGTAAAAAAACAATGAATAAAAATTTCATTAAATTAATAGTTCTAAAATATAAAAATAAAATAATTAAATGAATTTTATAGAAAAATGATTTAATTTAATTTAAAGACTAATTTTTTTCCTTTCAACTCTTTATTTCGATTTTTATTTTTCTTCAATTTAACTTATTTGTTAAATACTGTTCTATTATAGAACCTTGTTTAAAAATAGTAATTGAAATAAAAAACCATAAAGTATTTTGTACTAAATTCGGAGTTAAGAGAAGGTGTTAAAAATAGATTTGTTTAATTTAAAAAAAAATTTTATTTAAAATTTTTAAGAAAACAGAAACAAAAAAGAAAAAGAAAGTTTCATTTTATTATTTCTCTAATGGCATCACCTCGACTCAGTTTTAGACAAAGTTTGGTTTCTCCACATTCTAAATCATTATCTACTGTTCCTTTAGTTGTATTTTTAAGTGATCAAAATGAAATTATACAAACTATGAAAACAATTCCACCAGCAACAATGCTTATTTGGGTTTTAACACCAACAAGTGAATCAACAAAGTTTGGAATAACTATTTTCTTTAATTTAAAATATATTAAATAAAAGAATAAATATATTTACATTTACTTAGAGGAATTACTATTACAATTAAATACCATAATTTAATTTCACATCACACTTTATTCAAAGATAGTGTTGTTACAACTTTAACAAAGAAAAAAATTGGTAACTCAAAACAAATAGAATATAATGTGTCTACTAACATTAAAGGAATTACTAATAATAATATTAGAGCTGCTATTAATCAATTCACTTTATATCAACAGCTCGTTCAATTTCTTGTGAGAACACAATATTTTAGTGATTTACCTTCAATGAATAAATCACCTACTATTCATCCAGACCCAACTTCTCCTCGTTTAATTTGTCAGTCAATTCAAGGAATTAAAAGAATTGATTTGGATGAAGAAAATGGTTCATTATTATTATTAAATGAAAAACTCTCTATTATTGCTCGGTGTGAAACTGTTAATAGTGCAATTAATGCATTAAAACAATACATTAATCCTACTCAACTTCCTAGCTCTTTTTCAACAGAAGAATTTAATATAACTGACAAACTAAATGAAATTCATGCAATAAGTTGTTCTGAATCTTTTGTTATTAAAGATGTAATAATGATTTTACCAAAATTTATAAATGATTTATGTCATCATCCAATTACTGACCTTGTTAATTCTTTAGAAGTATTAATCAGTCGTGTTTTTTCTAATTCATTAATTGAACAAAAGACTATCATTAAAATGTTATTTGATCATATAAGAATGCATTCAATTTGTGATGGAATTTATCTTCTTATTGGTAAATTATTGGATAAATATACTAAAGCATTTTGTACTGTTCTTCAAACAGAAAAGGTAGGAATTATACTAACTGAAAAGATGAAAGAAATATATAAAAATATTTTTGGTGATTATACCTTTGATGAAAAACCATTGCCATCAATTAAAACTGTTATTGTTAAGGATGATAATACACCAATTAACTATGATGATATGGATAGAGGATCATCAAAACAAGTAAAAAGAAAGTCTATATTTTTCTCAAATTCATTGTTCCAAGAAGATGATACTTTCTTAAGAAGACAAAGTAGAAGTTTCCAAAGAGCAATTACTCCTAGAAAAACAGGAAAAGGAAAAGGTGATGAACAATTAGAATCAAAAAATGAAATGAGGGATGAAGCAAGAAAATTAGCTCAAGCATTTTTTAATGAAAGTCTTCCTTATATTCTTAAAGTAGATCAAACAGGAGTTAAGATATTTAATTCAAAAAATGAAAATGAAGCATTTCTTGATAATTTAACTTACAAATCTGGATTTGAACAATTAAAACAAGTAATTAAATTGATTAGATATAATATAGTTATAGAAGAAAATCCTGAGCTAATCAAACAGATTTGTTTTTTCCTCATTCCTTCAGTGTCATTGGGTTATAAAGATTGTTTTAAAGAAATCACTCATTCTATGGAAGATTATTTTCAACATATTTATGTATGTAATAAAGAAAATATTTTTATGAAAATATTAACTGATTGGGAATTAATTATAGAAGAATCAAAATCATTTAGTGCTTATTTCTTCCGTATTTTATTAAAAATATTTAGAGTTTATATGAAAATAGCTAGATATCAAACAATTGGATTAGGATTATCAGAAAGAGTTTTAATGCCTATTTCTTTATGTCTTCAACGTCCACAAACAGAATGTTATTTAGACTCTCAATATGACCTTTTAATAGAAGTTGGTCGTTGTTTTAAAATTTTTAATAATAAATGTTTGAATGAAACACACTCAGTTCATGCAATTCAACAAATCTATTCACCAAAAGAAATTAGTAAATTAGCAATGGCATGTGCAAAAAGATATCTTATTGATTGGGATAAAGAAACATCAAACTACCATGAAAATGTTAACAAATTACTTGGAAAGAAACGAGAATATGCCATTCTTTATTTTCAAGTTCTTGTTCATTTGTTACAAGTCTTTGATCAAAAATCTCTTCCAAACAATCAAAATTATACATCAATTCAAGAAAATTTAGAAAATCTAGTCGTCCCACCAAATGGATTTCTTTTTAGATTTTTAAGGGATGAAACTGTTTTATTTGGAGTTGACGCTAAAGTTACTGCACTCTCTTTTTTTACATATTTCTTTAGTGTAAATTCACCAATTATCAGAAGAAAATCTGTTGTTAATGAGTATATTAGATTTGCATTTAAATTATTCATTAAAATATATTATAAAGATACTTGGACTGATGATGATATTAGAGTATTAGTTGGAGCTTTGAAAATGTTAAATGGACTTGCAGCACATAAAACTGAGTTTAGTAGACAAACCTTTTTCAGACTAGGTTTATTCTCATTATTATTACACGAAGTTATGTTAGAATTTAATATAAGTTGGAATAACTCTCATGAAGAAGAAACTGGGATTTTTGATGCTTTTAAACAACAACCTAAAAAACAATTAGAACAACCAAAAGCACAAACAAAACGTATGACTGGAAGAAAGAATATGAAAGTTAATATTCCTAGACTTTGTGTAAACGCTAGTCCAACTAAACCACTTTCTCCTCGTAAATTTGAAACAAAACAAGATGAGGACATTAAAAAGGATGGAATTACTCAATTATCACCTCGAATTATGTTGGAAACTTCTAAATCAAGACCCCTAACCACAAACAATATATTCGATGGAAAACTTCTGTCACTCTCTGATGCTCAGTCTCAAGAAATTCAAAAGACTATTGAAGTCAATAAGAAAAGACTAACTCTAACTGATGAACGTTATAAACCATCAAAGAAAAATACTCCTATTTCTGATACTAGGTCGGATAGTCTCTCTCTTGACTCCCAATACTTCCAGGTTGTAGAAACACCAAAAGAACATGAAACAAATTATAATACTCCTCCTATTGAAAGCCCAGGTAAAACCCCTCCTATTGATGTTATTAAGAAAGAGGCTAAAACTCCTATGAGGTTGTCATTAGCAAAAATCCCTGGAATCATTACGGTTAGTCCTCCTGACTCATCTCGTTCAAGTCTAAGAAGTTCACTTGAAGCAGGTAGTTTTTTTATTCCTTGTAAATTAGATGACGAAACACAACACAAAACTTCTCCAATAACATCATGCAAAGATATTTCTATTCCATTGAACAAGTTTGAGGAATCAGTCATACGAGAGGAAGAGTCAAAGAAGAAAGAGTCTATTAACCCAACACCCAATAACACAAAGCCAGTTGAAACAAAAATTGAAGAACCTCAAGGAATTGTTTCAACTGACAAACCAAATGATACAAAAGTTAAAGAAGAAATAAAGAAAGAAGGTATGCCTCCTGCTCGAAAAAAGCGACCACCACCACTTAAAATGGTTCCAGCTATTAGAAAGTCTATTGATAACTCCGGAACTGGAACGTCATCTGCATCAGGAAGTACAACTAATAGTTCTACTGGATTATTGACACAAGTAGAACAGAAATTTAAGGAAACAGGGAAGTTACATCTTATTCTTGATACGATGATGTTTGAAAAAACAAACACTGAAGTAGTAAAAGTTGATGAACATTCATATGAAAATATGAGAAAAACAAGAAGAATTTATGTTAATAGTGATGTACATAAAGAGATTTTAATGTTATTGTTTAATTTAATAGTGATGGAGAATGGAGTATT